TACAAATTTACTTACAGAAGAAAGCTGCTGGCCAGATTTTTGACCTATTGTTTGCTGACCCCTCACTGTTAGACCAATCATAAGACTTGAGATGATGGTCTCAGAGGAAGAGATAAAAATGGCCAGATCAATTTTTGGTTAGTGGTGCCTTGAATATTGATATCCTTATTCCTCGGTGATGATTTTTTAATTTATTAAAATTCCAGATAAGATCTATGACATCTCGAGTGAATATGTGAGAAAATAAAGTTGTTACATTTACTAATAAAATGATTTTATTCATTTAAAAAATATTTTAATAGAAAATTTGTCATACCAATTCATTCAATGAGGAACAATTGCCAATTTAAAACTGATGTAGAAATTCAAAGGGCAGAGTGGAGAAAACCCTAGAGGGCAATTTTAAAAGTTTCACAGAAAATAAGCAATGGAAATGTGCCCCTGTCATACATAGAATTCTTAATTTTTCAGATTATCATGGAATATTCTGCAAAACATCACTCTCATCCCAAAACCTCAACAAAGGCTCTCTTCATTCATTTCTCTTTCAATAACAAGGAATTTATCAGGCAACTGGACAAATAAAGAAGTCTAGAAAAATTGATGGAAGACAAGGGAACACTATTTTAATATTAGCTACATGGATGTTCTAGTGAAATTCTGACCTTACAAAAAGAACTTATTTCTGAAAAGTTGATTTGAGAAGTCCATTAAAACACAAAGGCTTTGGATAGACAGTGCCACCAGCTCAGTTTATATGACAAAGCAACTCACCTCGTCATACTTTTCTTTACAATATCATTCAATTTCATAGTGTCCTAGAGGTTAGGGAGAAAAGTATTCAGTTGTATTGTGAAGCCTAAGTCCAGAAAGACTCATTGGCAAAATCACTGCCAACATTCACAATATGGTGTTCACTTCCAGAGGGGCTAGCACAGAGGCAAACCTGGGGAACTGGCCAGCCAGCTAACTTTGCTTCCATATCACAGATGTGTCAGTTCTAACCCAAGTATCTCCTTAATACTTGGAATCCATCTAAACATTCCAAAAATGTCACTTGACAAATTTAGTATATCTTTTACCCTCCATTAAGTATTTATATTTTCAAAGAGAGTTTTTAAAGATCAAGGAGTCCTTTGAGTCCCTTAGTATTGATTCTGTAAAGGCAAAACTTCAAACATCATGCGCTAAAATAACTTTATTGAACAAGGAATCAGGCTCTTCTAAACTAACCCTATTAGCTTCCCAAACACTTAAGAAACCATCTTTGTCAATTAAGTTAGTGGTTGATAACCAGCTACCCATTCACCATATTCATTTCTCACAATTTTCACACAAATTTCATATCATTACAAGCTATCCAATGGATTTGGCTAACTAAGTTTCTTTCTAAGGGTGTTTATGTAAAGCCCCACTCTCAAGAATTTGAAATTTTAAAAGCAGTACATGTCCCTTGGTTCCCCACTGTATTTATTGTATAGTGCTAGATACTGGGAACCCTAAGAAATATAGGACATAGTGCCTGTCTTAAAGAAACTCGCATGGTCAAAACAAAAATAAATAATAGAGCAAGCTATCATTTGGCCAGTATAAATCCCCACAAAAATGTAATGGCACATCCACTTAAAATCACTCTACTTTTCACTCATTTCCCACTGCATTTAAAATAAAGGCCAATCTTCCTAGAAGGGCCAGTTTTAAGCTGTGCGTTCTAGAATCTAGCTTGCTTTCCAGCCATAAGCCCACTTGCCCTCTCTGCTGCAGACATACTACCTGTCTTTCAGTCCCTTGTCTGCCTATACCTCCTACACTAGGACCTTTGAGCAGGCTCCTTCCTGGGCCTGGAAGGCTCTTCGTTCTTTTTCCCTAGAAAATTCCTTTTCATCAGCAGTACTCATTCTACCTTTTTTATACACTTTCACTGACCCCATATGTTTATCTTTCCTGTCACTTTTTAGAGTAATGCCAAGAATCTTTTATCTATTATACAATATTTTATGTCTCTTATTTATCATAAATTTTATCTATTGTATAATTATTTTGCTGTATAATTATCTTTGGTTTTTGATGTAATTATATATTATATAATGATGTATTTATTATATAAATATTTTATTTATTGTATAATTATTTTATGAAGATATGTCTCTTCAGCCTGAAAATAACACAGGAAAAAATTTTAAAATTTAAGTAAAAAATATGTTTCTCTCCCCTTATATGCTCAGTATATAATAGGAATTTGCTAGCTCCTTATTAAAATTCCAAATAATATGTATGATATCTCTTATGAATATGTGAGAAAATAGAATTGCTATATTTATTACTAGAATGGCTTTACTCATTTAAAAAATATTTTTTATACAAAATTTGCCATAGTCACCAATTCATTCAATGAGGCACAATTGCCGGAATTAAAACTGACATAGAAATCCACAAGAGAGAAAACCCTAGAGAAAAACAAAAGAAAAGTCTCAAATACCTACCAAATAAATGGATCCATTAATAAGTGAATAACTGGAGTTGCATAAACAAATAAATCCATATCTTTTTATTGAACAGTAATTGTTTAATAAAGTTATTAGAAGTCTAAAATTCACTCAACAAATATTTCTAGGATTCCCACTGTACTCTGCTCGGCACTGGAATATAGAGATGAAGACATTGTCCCTTTTCTTCCCACCTACTGAGACAGACAAGCAAATAATTACAACGTGACATGCACTGTAGACCACAGAATTCCAATTTAGGAGACAGAGACAAGAATTAACTTTACCTGGAGGAGCCAAAAAAGACTTCTAAGGAAAGGACTGTGGATTCTTTAAGAAGAAATAGAAATGCAAAGAGCTGAATAGTGAAGAAAGGTACTCTATGCAGAAAACGCAATGCGGAAAAAAATGAAAAGGTTTGAAGAGCATGGAATGGCAACTCATTTGGTACCATTGTGACTCGGGGTGTGTGGAACGGGAATGACCTGAAATTGAACGGAAATTGTTGACTGAGGTAAAATAATGAGGACATGATGAATTGGAGGTGAGAACAAGATAACCAAGTGGGACTGAACGGCAGTCAGTGGGAGATGCCAAAAAGAGGCTGGAGAAAGCCACGAGAAAGCGAGAAATACCTTCATGGCACTCATGGGGGATGTTCAGGAACCGGGTACTCCCAGTTTCTGACCACACTCTCAAAACCATACCCCCACAGGATAGTGTTCCCCACACTTCTCTAAGGACAGCAATCACGTGATTGTTAAAAATACAAATTCCAGGGGCACAAATCAGCCTTATTAAATCAGCATCAACAAAGAAGCCAGGAAATCTGTATGTTTAAACAAAACCCCAGGTAATTCTTACGATCAGGGAAGCTTGAGAAATACTTTCAAAGAAAACTTCCATCCCACCTTCAGGTAACACTCACCATCCTTTTCCCCAGCACTGTTTGCTCACCTGTCAGGAATGATGGCTGTCCAAGGAAACATCACTTCAACAATTAACATAATGGCTTTTATTTCCAACATGATAATAAAACATGACTGGGCAAGCACAGATAAGATATAGATCATTGGGAGAACTGTGCACACCACTAGAGGAAAAATTCAGCTAATGACACTCCAAAGGTAGAAAAACAGCTTGGCAGGGTGGGTCACACATAATCACAGCATTTTGGAAGGCTGAGGTGGGAGGACTGTTTGAATCCAAGAGTTGAAGACCAACTTGGGCAACATAGTCAGACTTTGTCTCTACAAAAAACAATTAAAAAAAAAAATTAGCTGGGCATGGTGGTACATGCCTGTAGTCCTAGCTACCCTAGAGACTGAATCTGGAGGATGCCTGGAGCCCAAGGGTTTGAAGCTGTGCTGAGCTGTGATCATGCCACTGCACTCCAGCCCAGGTGACTCAAACAAAACAAAACAAAAAAGAGAAACTAGACTGAGCAGAAAGAGGAAAGTTCATGTACTTAGCCATTAGCACAGTAGCCATGGATGACTTCTTAGGTCTCCAAACCTATTTGCTTCTCCCCAGTTCACTATTGATTTATCACTTGAGGTCCCAAATGCTGTGCTGTGTGGTTGGCTACAGAACCACACCAGAATTGAAATTCTTTCAACACTTAGTTGTTGGGCTTTTCGCTCACAGAGAATAGAGGACATATCCTACATAACACAGCCCGTTCTGAGGCCATCATGTCCCCATACCAAAAAAACAAAACAAAACAAAAAGACCCTTTCAGTGCTATTGAGGTATTTTTGTTCAGAATTTGAGGTGTCCATACTGTAATCATCTGGATAGCAACCCTTCATTTAGTCCATATATTTTCCTGTGACCAGCTGGGTCACTGCTTGACTATCCACAAGTGCAGATATAAATGGAAACGTGGTTATTGCAAGCCCAAGCCATTTCCAATGGAAAGCTTTACCCTTCTTGAGAATCCAGCTCAGTAACTGCCTCCAGCCTCTGAACACATTGAAAAGCAGTGCAGTGGTATCTCGAGTCATTTGTACCATTTCCCTCAGAGTTTTAGCAAAAAAAATTTCACATTTCTGTGCCTCAGTTTCTTCACCTGTGATTCAACATTACAAATGCTATTTTTTTAACGTGTGTCATATAATACTATAAAAATAAAAGAGGTTTTTAGGAGCTTGTTTGACAGGATATCAAAATTACCTTGTTGGCATCAAACCATGTTTAAATGGAAGCCTCCTGTTCCCGTGAACAAATATGAATAATCCATTGGGGCTTTTCCCTCATTTTTTAAATTGAATCAAGCTAAATTTACAATAGACACCCTATGTGAGGCAATAGCAACTTGCTGGGAGGTGAAACATTTGTTTAAAGTGGAATGCCTGAGAGATAAATGCTACTATATCTATATTTTATCTTTCTTTCCCAATGACATGTGAATGTCAGATAAGATGCTCTTCATCAAAGATGACTGTGTTTTCCAAAATATCGTACTAAAGATATGGTCAAAAAAAATTGGGGGTGGGGAGGAAAGCAATAAAAATGGAGAGGGACAAGGAGTATTTCTTGGGTGTTACTGAACTGTACAGATTTCTGAGAATATCAGAAGTTGTACCTGGTAAGTTGTAGGGATGTTTTTAAATAAGGATTCCAGAAGATGCTGAGCACTGCTTTCTAAATTGCCATCTCTAAACTTGGCTGATACGATGTCCACTCACAAAATGATTTGTGGGCTTTTCCAAGGTTTCTTCCCCTTTGGTCCACAGAAGAATTTCTCAAAGTGTGTTTATAATGGGTGATGATAAGAATTATAGGAGGAAAATAAAATAAGACAGTCATATCCAGAACCCACGTACTGGACTCATATGGACACTTGACTGTGACAAAAATGAAACTACAAGCAGTGGAGAAAGAACAAAAGGCACTAGAACAACTGGATACCCTCAAGGGGAAAAATGGTGTCGAACAAAAGATATTAAACACAAAATCATTTCTATTATGTGTTTGGCATCTCAGAGTATAGAGCAGTGCTTCCCAAAGTGTGATTCATGGACCCCTGATTCAAGTCACTTGAGTAACAGTTGAAGACATCGATTCCTGAGCCTATTTTAGACTCACTGAGTCTAGGAGTGAAACCTGAGAATCTCTATTTTTATCAAATGCTTCTTGATGATTTTTGGTTCACTAAAGCTTCACCAGCATAGTGCTTGCAGCTAGGAAAACAACTGCCTGAATCCCAGCTTTGCCACTTATGAGCACATTAATTAATCCACCTATATTTCAGTTTTCTCACCAGTAAAGTGGTGACAATAATAACCTCATAGGTTAGTCACGGGGATTAAATGAGATACAGCATCTACAGGACTTAGCATAGTCCTGGTTCATAGTAAGTACTCAGTGTTAAAATTACTCTCCGTGTCCAATAAACTGACTAGCAATGAAATGTTTTAAATTGTTTTCAAGAAATTTCTATTGTCAAATTTTAACTTTGTGCTGGTATTGCTGCCTTATTACTGTATCTAGAACACAGAAACAGAAAACCAAATACCATATGTTCTCCCTTATAAGTGGGAGCTTAAACACTGGGTACACATGGGTATAAGGATGGGAGCAACAGACACTGGGGACAGCTAGAGGGGGCAAGAGTTGAAAAAAACCCTTTGAGTACCATGCTTCCCATCTGGATGGCGGGCTCAACAGACGCCCAAAACTCACCATCACACAGTGTATCCATCCGACAACCTTGCACGTGTACCCCTTGAATCTAAAATAAAATTTTTTCAATGTTAAAAAGGACAGTACCTTTGTCAAGTGTATTGACAAATAAGTGGAGAGTACACGAACTTGAGAACTTGTTTGGAGAACATATCACACCAAAGAAGCCATGATCCCATTCAAAAGATGCTACTTAAGGGTTTGTGCAAGTGATCTGGCAGGGGATATTTGCCCATGACCCAGGAGAGCTAAATAACCTTGGTAATCAATGCAGCAGCAGGCTAATTCATCCTGCAAACATTTACTAGAAGATTACAATGTTTCAGGTTCTGTGCTAGATGCTGAGCACTGAGAATAAAAAATAAGGTCCTTCCTCTCAAGCAGGACATAGTTTATGGGATAGTGCAGCATATCATCCTCACATCTGCATGTGTTACATAGTATTTCTCTGCCAATTGTTCTTCTGGGCAACAGAGTGAGACACACACACACACACACACACACACACACACAAACCAGCTGAAAACTGGAAAAGTTTTATGGACAGAGTATGTATAGCAATTCCTTCTGAATTAGGGATAAAAGGACAATATTAAACAACGAATGCACCTAGCTTTCTTTCTTCTACCTGTCCTCAAAAGCAAATACTTTTCTTTAGGACTGCTTTGTGTTTTGGTTTTGAGTCTCACTTTGTCACCCAGGCTGGAGTGCAATGGCACAATTATGACCTCCTAGGCTCAGGCAATCTTTCCACTTCAACCTCCGAAGCAGCTGGGACTACAGGCCTATGCCACCATGCCCAGATAATTTTTTGCAGAGATGAGAGCTTGCTAATGTTGCCTAGGCTGGCCTCGAACTCATGGGCTCAAGCAATCCTCCTGCCTCAGCCTCCCAACGTGCTGGGATGACAGGCATGAGCCACTGCACCTGGCTTCGGGACTTTGAAGACATTGCTCCATTTCCTTCTGGCATCTAGCACTGCTGATAATAAGCATGATGAAATGAAGGAAGGAAACTCCACTGGTGAGGCAAAAGCTTCTCTGGTCTATATATTCTTCTGCTTGCTCTTTGGTACTAAATATCTGTGCTGGCAAGTGGACAGCAAGTTTCGGAAAGGCACAGGCAGAATTTAGATCCCAGACAGTCAAAGCCAGGGACACCGGAGATTCAGATAAGACATTTTGCAGAGTCAGCCTGCATTAGTTCCCAGGACTGCTGCAACAAAGTTCCACAAAGTAGGTGGCTTACGACAACAGGACTGTATTCTCTCACCATTCTGGAATCTCACAATCCAACATCAAGGTGTCAGCAGGCCCATGCTTCCTCTGAAGGCTTTAAAGAAGAACTTCTTCCATGCCTCTCTCGTTTCCTGTAGTCGCCAGCAAACCTTGGCCTTCCTTGGCTTGAGGCTGCGTCACTCCAGGCCCTGCCTCCATAGTCGCACGGCAGTGACTTTGTGTTCACTCTGTGCTCTTCTTCTAATGACACCAGGCATGAATTTAGGGCCCACCTGCCATCAGGATGTCCACCTGAACATATGCAAAGATCCTATTTCTAAATAGGGTCACATCCTGAGGTTCCAGGAGGACATACATTTTTGAGGGGCACCGATCAACCCGGAAAAGTCTCAGGAGTGCATGGTCTTTAGAAAAAGAAGATAGTAAGGGTTATTTGGAATCCAGGCAGGCAGGGAAGGAGAACAAAGATCTGGAGACAGAAACAGCCGCACGCTTTGCACTCCAGCAGCTCTGAACCACACAAGGCTGCCTTCCCACATGATGATACCTTCACAATCAGGCCAGTTTATCCATATCTCACAGTCGGGACCGGGACAAAAGCCCATGATACTTTACGGAGCCCATGAAAGTGTTTTAACCTCTTTCCATATCTAAGGCAAAAAAATAATCCAATCTGGGCTATATCCATATTTATATCAATGTAGTCATCAAACATAATTTTTCATACTTTTTTTCTCTTTTTCTGCAGTGGCTCTGAAATGGCCTCTCGATTTCAGCACAGGCACTTAGATGGCATGTTGGGATCATCACTATCCTATTTTTTTTAATGGTGAAGAGAGTCCTGGAAAGGCAAAAGTACCCAGGGCACACAAGAGCCACCACGCAGCCCTGTTCACGAACGGGCATGCTCAGACACCGGGTCTGGAGAAGCTTGGGAGTCTGCATTAGCTTCCATTCATTCCCACTGCCGGGGTGGTCCATTGCCAATCACTGACTAAAGGAAGAGGTATCACAGCCCAGCCCTCTTGCCAATGGGGAAAATAACCTCTATGGTATGATTCACTCTCTACAGTGTCCCAAGAAATCACATCCTTGCCTAGCTTCTATCTCTGCCTTATTCTGTTTCCCCCTCTTTCCAGCATTCCCTGGCAGTATCACTTGTCTAAAAATCCCCATCTCAACCTCTGCTTCTAGGAGGCATGGCCTAAGACACTTAGGACCTCCATGACAAGCATTAAGACCTGACAAAAATTCTCTAGCAAACAAACATACTGAATGCGTGAACAAAACAATGAATGAAGAAGTAAATGTTAGAGAGACATGGAGGCAAAGATCAAAGGCCCAGCCAGGCCTTTACAAGGGCTGAATGGATCATCAAAGGAGCTTCAGTCCCTGATAAATAACAGACTTGAGCACAGGGAGAACAGATAGGGATATAGATTCTAGAGCAGAGGCACAAGTCAATGGCTCTGCTCACAAAAACGGGGGAAAAGTCTAACCCTTAGATCTGAGGAACCATACCTACTGTGTGCCCAGCACTGTGTGAGTCACTTTCATATATACCAACAGACTAAGGTACTACTCAGCTGTCAAAATGGATACAGCTTTCCTTCAATTCTCTCAGACTTGATTGGCCCCAGAGCTGGGGCCGAGAGGAGTTGGCAAGCAGGAATTATGAGGTCGGTTCTGATGAAATTTTGTGAGCAATCATCTATTGATGAGAGGGCTGCCTTTGAAGACCTGACACCTTGCCATACTCTTAATACCCTTGGTGATCTTAAGAGCATGGTCCTCTGAAGCCAGCACTCAACAAGATGTAAAAATGAGAAGATTTCCTGCCATGGAATTTCTATCCCAGATATGGTTCTTTGTAATTTTAGCAGCTCCTCTCAACCTTTGCAGCCGTTTTAGAGCCAAGCAGATGGCAGGGGAGAGCTTAACCAAGTGGTGAAGTTTCAGCTGCAAAAGGCAATTCCTAGAATGACAATTCAGAAACTCATTTCCCCCAACACTTATCATATTGGCAGAGAGTTAGTGATTTTTTTCTTTTTTCTTTCTTTCTTTTTTTTTTTTAGAAAAATGAGAAGGAGGCAGTGTATCAGAATAAGGCATCCTATGTTTTGTTAGGTTATGTGCAGGCAAGCACTACCGAGTCCAATTCTTCTCTTTGCATTTGGTATTCACAAGGCAAAGGGCCAGACTTACTTGTAAGTTAAATAATATCCTGAAAAGCTAAAACTCAGGGTCTGCAGTATGACGGACATCCAGCACGTGAAGCAACTGCTAAATGCATCCAAAAGCAATGGATGACAGTTTCTGTCAAGTTGCTCCAACCCTGGCTGGCATTAAGGACCCCTCTAGTTTCCAGCTATACATCATAAAGAAACAGCAAGGTTGTAGAAAGAGCATAATCTGGGCTCAAATTCTACCTCTGATACTAAATAACTCTGTGATCTTGAGCAAATGACTTTTCCTCTCCGAGCTTGTTTCCAAAAATGTAGAATGGTGGGGAGGGAGAGAATAGAGATCTCAAATGATTATTGCAAGAATTCAGCGTCATCATGCACATGAAAGTAACTGGCAAATAGTAGATCTTAAACCAGTACCTGTTTTTCTTCCTTTCTATCATGACTGGCTTGGCAGAAGTTTGTCAAAATTGCTGTTGTTCTTTCAAACTGTTTCAGCTTTGGCTCATTCATAATTTTTCCTTTATCTTCAGACAATTTTAATTATAAAGATTTGTCTTCCTTGAGATTCCATAGCCCTTATTCTTTGCGAATGAGGCAGTGAGGTTTGGCTTTTGGAATTTTCGTTTTGATCTTTTACAACATGTGTATAACAGAAACAATAAATATGTTCAATATTCTGAAGCTATAAATGTATCATCTTTTAATGAGGCCTGCTGGGGGGTTTTGTTTGCTTGTTTGTTTTTCCCTTTTTTTGAGTTGGAGTCTCACTCTGTCGCCCAGGTTAGAGTGCAGTGGCACATCCACGGTCACCCCAGTGTCGACCTGCTGGGCTCTGATGATCCGCCTGCCTCAGCCTTCCAAGTAGCCGGAACTACAGGTGCGCGCTACCATGCCCGGCTAATTTTTTATTTATTGTAGAGATGAGGTCTCGCCAAGTTGCCTGGGCGGGTCTTGAACCCGTGGGCTCAGGCAATCCACTCACCTCAGCCTCCCAAAGTGCTGGGATTACAGGCTGAGCCACCGAGCCTGGCCAAGGCCTGTTTGTTTTAATGAAGCCTAAATTACTCAAGCACAACAGAAGTGTTTTCAATTGAGACTATTTCTGTGGCAAATCACAGAAAAAAGACTTACCTGGCTTAAACAAATAAGGGAATCTCCTGGCTTCCGTTGCTGAAAAGTCCACAGGACTTTCCATGGTTGGATCCAGGCATGGTTTTGGTCCAGGCTTCTGTTCAATTTTTTTCTGCAATTCTCTCAGCTTTGCCTGTCTCTAAATGTTGACTTAGTTCTCAAATGAGCCTAATAAAATGACTGCCTGCAGTATTCACAGTGAACCCTCATTCGCATCCAAAGGCAGAGCAAAGATTACGGCCAGTTTTTAGTCCTGCCATACGAAAGCCCCAAGTTTCACTCTGACTGGGTCACTCTTGGTTCTATTTCTCCCATCCAAGCACTAACGAGTCCCAACCCTACTTAGTTTCTGAGATCAGGCACAGTTCAGGGGGAGAGGGCCCGACCCTATTTCCATAGCTAGGGAAGTGCTATTATCTGATTGACTTAAACCTGTATCAATCACTATGACAAGGAAATGGTACTATTCTAAGTGGTTGAGAGCCATCAGGACCCTCTTCTGGATCTGAAGATGGGGTCTACCCCTCCTAAACATCATGGTTGTCACTCAAAGGAGCTGAAATGGATAGTACAATAATAACTTCTGCTACAATTAAAAAATAATTTTTTAGCAATTTAGTGCAGTGTTCCTAAATGCCTTTTTTCATTTTAAAATGATGATTCATTTCACTACATTTGATTCTTTTCAAATAAAATATCACACTTTAGCCTCCAAAGGCAATCATAGACTGACAATCAGCTAATCAAGGCAAGACATTAGCAAGAATTTCAGGGCATCTAGGTTAGGAATCTTGTTTCTTGTTCTTCCTCACCACTTCCCCTTGTTTTTCTCTCCCTCAATTTTCTTGATAAACTTTTCTTTTTCTCATTTTCTTCCTCCATTTACAGTCCTGTTTTTCTTCTCTCAGTATGCATTTTAATATATGCAAACATAACAGCATGTAAGGTGAGACATTTTCTGACCTCTCACAATTTTAGCTAAGACCTCAAAGCTGTTATCACAGGTGAGTCTTCCTATAGAGGCACTAGACATATCCTCTCAGAAATTTTTAAGAGGGGGCCAAACTCATCCATTACTCATCTCCCCAACAGCCTATAAAAGAGAAAACTAGAGATTCACTTAAAAGAACATTTTTAAAGGTGAATATATACATAGAGATGAGAGAAGGATGGTCTCTCCCGCTTCGAGTCAACTGAGGAAAGCTTTCAAGTGAATCTCTCAGAGAGGGCTGGTGCTTGTTGGGGGGGGGGGCTGATATCTTATTCTCAAACTGGATATTTACCAAGATCACACACACTTAACAACTATCCAGGCTTTGCAGATGCCGCCTTGAGCCTTTTCTCAGCCATGGTCAACCCCACCGTGTTCTTCAACATCACCGTCGACGCGTCGCCTTCGAGGTGTTTGCAAACGAAGTTCCAAAGACAGCAGAAAACTTTTGTGCTCTGAGCACTGGAGAGAAAGGATTCGGTTATAAGGGTTCCTACTTTCACAGAATTATTCCAGGGTTTATGTGCCAGGGTGGTGACTTTACACGCCATAATGGCACTGGCGGCAAGTCCATCTATGGGGAGAAATTTGATGATGAGAACTTCATCTTGAAGCATACAGGTACCGGCATCTTGTCCATGGCAAATGCTGGACCCCACACAAGCAGTTCCCAGTTTTTCATCTGCACTACTAAGACTGAACGGTTGGATGGCAAGCATGTGGTTTTTGGCAAGGTGAAAGAGGGCATGAATGTTGTGCAAGCCATGGAGGGCTTTGGGTCCCAGAATGGCAAGACCAGCAAGAAGATCACCATTGCTAACTGTGGGCCACTCTCATAAATTTGACTTGTTTTATCTTAAACTACCAGATCATTCCTTCTGTAGCTCAGGCGAACACCCCCTCCATCCCATTTGCTCGCAGTATCCCTATAATCTTTGTGCTCTCGCTACAATTCTTTGGGTTCCATATTTTCCTTATTCCCTTCCATGTCTAGTTGGATTGCAGAGAAAGAAAAACTAAATAACAACAACAACAACAAAAACAACTGTCCACCAGCGAGGAAAGACTTTCCCTGCTTTCAAAAAGGGGACAGAGGAGAAAAGAAAAGAGTAAAAGAACAGATGTTGCCCATCCTTCTCACTGCTGAACCCCAAGCTCTGGGCCAGGATTGAGCAGAGCAGTGGGTGGAGAGCTTAGAGGAAACTTTTAAGTTGTATGCAGGATGGAAGTTTTATGTTAGATTAAAACGGGCTTCCAAATACCTGGAAAACTCCCTCCAATAATATCCAAAAATGACACTGCCAAAGTTGTTTTTAAGAAATGAGAAGGAAAATTCCAAAGGAACTTATTTTAAGTTAGTTGTGGGAACATTTTTTAAAAGTTTTACATTACATTTTTAATGCAAGGAAAAAAGCAGTTTCCCAGTTGTAGCGTACTGAATTCAATGTATTTCATAAATTTACCATACAAATACAAAGCAACATATATGCATATGTATTTTCAATATACTTTGTGTTTGCACATCAGTCAGGTCAGCTAGAAACTCAATGCTCGGAGAGAGAGTTGCAGAGAGTTCAATGAAAAAAACTGTTGACAAGGATGGGGGTGGAGCTAAGGATGTCAAACCAACCAAAGATCGCAGGAGCCCTTAGCATAGAGGGGGTTGGGGGAAATGGAGGAAATGGTTGCCTGAGCCCAGAGGAATGGGGCTAAGCTTCTCATCTAGCGCCTTGGACTCCAGCAGACAAGGAAGCCTCCAAGGAACTGTCATTGTAATTGATATATTGAAATCTTAAGTCACCTAAAGTTGGTAAAATTTTATAGACTAAAGTAGAATGTTTCCATGAAGTCCTCTTGGCAAGAATGGAATGACATTTCCCAAGGAAAAAAAATTGGCGGTACATTCAGTGGTCCTGCGATCCATCTCTTGCCTCAACAATGTTTGGATGGAACAGACCTGGGGATTCCCTCTCTTCCAGCCTCCCACTGCCCTCTAATTTCCTCTCCACCTGCAACCTCCAAGACCATCTTCTGGGCCACCTCCTGCATCTAGAACCAGCGAACACGCTTTTGTGGTTAGCTCCTTCTTGCTGCCCCACCATGAGCTTCCAGGTTCTCCAGAGTTATTCCGCCCAGGTAGAGGCGGCCCCCAACCAACTGGTCAGCCTGCATCTGCGGGGCTCCTACACCTGCCCCTCTCTGGGCTTCTGTTTGGACCGCGACGACGTGGCTCTGGAAGGCAGAGGCCACTTCTGTGAATCAGCCGAGAAGTGCAAGGTGGTCGCGCCCTCTTCCGGGATGTCCAGAAGCCAGCTCAAGATGAGTGGGGTCAAACTCTGGACGCCCTGGCCACCACCGTGGCCCCGGAGAAGAACCTGAACCAGACCCTTCTGGGTCTTCGTGCCCCGGGGTCTGCCCACACAGACCCCCAGGTCTGTGACTTCCTGGAGAACCACTTCCCAGATGAGGAAGTGAAATTCATCAAGAAGGTGGGGGACCACCTGACCAACCTCCACAGGCTGGCCAGGCCGAGGCTGGGCTGGGCGAGTATCTCTTGGAAAGTCTCACCCTCGAGCACGACTGGGGAGCCCAGCGACCTCTGGGGGGCCCCCTCTCCAAGGGTAGGGCTTCTGCCTGAGCCTCTCCCTCCATCCCCCGGCAGCTTTTGAAGCACCCTGGAGCCCTCTCCCAAGCCCCCTGGACCAAATGGAAATAAAGCTTTTGGCAGCAATAAAAAAATAAATAAAATAACCTCAGGTTGATTACATCAGCCTTAAAAGTGTAGAAAATGAATTTGAAAAAAAAAAAGTTATTAACCTAAAATGAATGTGGATAAATATACGACGGGGGAAAAAATCGCCAAAATAAAAACGCTGAAAATGGAAAGTGAGGAACTCATGATGCGATGTAAGATCACCAACAGAGGCCACCAGCCTCAGGCCTATCTCACCCCACACCAACACCACAGTGCGTAGCTACCATTAAAGTATGGTCTCAGAACGTTTTTGCTTTGACACCCCTTCATGTCTGTTTCCTGACATCTGTCTTCTAAAACCCTGCTAAAACCACCAAGAATCCAAGGAAGACAAGAGGCTTTGTCCTCCTTCACCTCTCAAAAGATTATTTCTCCCTTTGCCACCATGTCTCTGTGACTCTTTGCGTTCTTATCTCTATGAACTTAAAGTAGGTCTCCGGACTGCCCTACATCTTTGTCTTTTCTCACTTATGAAAAAGAAAATGAGAGATATTCAATTAACCTCTTTTCCCAACCTGCCCCTCCAACTGGTTCCAACCCTGAAAGTCTCTCTCTCAAGCCGGGTGCGGTGGCTCATGCCTGTAATTTCAGCACTTTGGGAGGTGGAAGCAAGAGGATTGCCTGAGCCCACAGGTTCAAGACCAGCCTGGTCAACTTGGCGAGATTTTGTCTCTACAGTAAATCAAGAAAAATATCACCCAGGCATGGCGGTGCACGCTTGTAGTTCCAGCTACTTGGAAGCTACTGGGAAGGCTGAAGTAGAAGGATTGCCTGAACCCTACAGGTCGAGGCTGCGGTGGCCATGAGCACACCACTGTCACTCTGGGTGACAGAGTGAGACTCTGACTCAAAAAAAAAAGAAAGTCTCTCTCTCTCTCTCTCTTTCACCCGCGCATGCTAAACTCAATAAAGGTCAGAGTTCTGTGTTCCTCCTTTGCTCTGGAAAACTTTCTTCCCTGTCCCTCATTCCCACCCCCACACCCTTACTGTTCAAGGAAGTCCTTCAAGATCCAACTTAAACCATTTCTTCTCTCAAACCCCCACTTGTCTCACCCCATACTGCAGCCCCTACTCCTAGTTTGACCAGCATAGTTAGACATCCTTTTCTTCTGCTCACCTAGTACTTAGTCCACAAACTTGAGAGTGTTCCTTATCACCGGTTATAGTCAGCTGTTTATGTGACCATCTTCTTCCATTAGACTGCTAGCTTTTGGAGACAGAAACTGTGCCATTTATTTTTAAAATCCCAGTAGCAGGGGGAGAAGGTTCATAATTTACTCTGAAAGAAAAGAAAATCCAAAAAGGTTTACAAGATAACTTGAAGGTTTTGTAAGCACTAGAAGTAAACCTTGTGCCCTCTCCTCTGTTCTACCGGTACATTAGAGCCAGGGTTACAAGGCACTGGCAGACTTTGACACTGGCAAAGACCCAGAAGTCGGGTCAAGGCCACCTCAAAATTCCTTTAAGACAAATACAAGGAACAGCGCGTAATAAGTTGAAAACTTCCTTTGCAATTCTTAATCCTTAGCTAAATTCTACATGGCAAGTGGCCTTAAAATGAAAATAGCTGTTTATTAAAATCTTTGTATTTACTAATGAGTGATGACATAGCTGTGTTTATGGACTGGGTTGTTGCTACAACACATTCACACAGTTATAAATAAAGCAAACTGCGAAGAGATGAGCAGGGGAAATCTGAGTTTTTGTTTTCACGAGGACTCTTCCAGTCTCTTCCCACTGTACCCTAAGGTCTATTTAGCCTAGACTAAGCGGCGGTCACCAGCTCCATAAATGCTACAACAAACTCAGTGAAGTTGCTTGCAGACGGGAGAGGCGACTAGTGTCACTCTGCTTTTAATAGACCCGTTCCTCAAGCCTCTAAGTTTCCTTTGTAGTCAGTAAAGATAGACCCAAAGTGCAGGAAGAGAAGTTTCTGTCTGTGAACTTTTAAGAGGTTCCTTCTGGCTCACCCCTCCCACTGAGCCATGTTTACTGTGCAGGTTGGACAGGCTACTAAGCATACAGTATGTTCCTATTGTTTGCAACTCATTGTTCTTTCAAACTGCTTTGTAAATTACAAAAGGCTTTAAAAATTCACTTGTTTTCCAGCTTGGGGTGTTGACATTTCTCCATCTGCAATTATCAACCCACACTTACACAGCCACCCACCAGTGAAGATTTCTAAAGCAACGTATTAAAGTGAAAACAGCACTGTATTTAGAGAACCAAAGGCTTGGGTCCAAATTCTGACTGTACTACCAGGGTTGGGAGTAGGATAAGGTGATAGAGGAGCCTGGAGCCCAAAATGTAAGGCAACACTCACTCCCAGGTCTCTCTGGTCCTATCCCACCCATTTCAACCTGTGCAACTTTTTAAAATCGAAGTGAAAGTCACGTAATATAAAATTAACAATTCTGAAGCATGTTATTCATTTTGCACTGCATTAAGTACAGTCAATGTTATGTAATCATCACCTTTATCTACTTTCAAAATGTTTTTATCACCTCCTCCCACAAAAACCCCACACCTAGTAAGCGAGTACTCCCAATCTCCCTCACACCTTCCCTCCCCCAGACCCTGCCACCCACCAACAACTTTTATGTCTCACTGAATTTACCTATTCGGGATACAAGCTGTGTGTTTTGATAGTAGTAATAATAGCTAATTTGCCTGTGCCAGGACACCACTTGAAGAGTTTTATGTGCATTAATTCAATTATTCCTCATAAAAACCCAATGAGGTAGGCCCTAATATCTACAGGTAAATGACTCGTTATTTAACTCTCTAATCATTACTTCCTCATCTGTAAAATGGAGAAAATAGCAACACACTAACAATTTGCTAACCACGTCCGTGTGAGAGGCATTGTTCTAGGCCAGGAATAGCTAACAAGATTGATGTCTAACCAATAGGAATGACTTTCTAGAGAGCAGGGGAGATCGATTTTGAGATGACTCACTGGGACAAAGTGTAGCCACTGACTAGTAATGTCTGTCGTGGACAGAGGAATGGATGAAGTAGTGTTAAGTACAGATTTGTCTTCCCTCCCAGGAAACTGAGAGGGGAGAGGGAAAGACAAGTAAA